ATATATATATATATATATACCGTCAACTAGTCTAGCCCATTATCGACAGCGTGGATATTCGCCTCAAGTTGCGGTCGACTACCTGTTTTACGGGCGTTTTCCGCAGCCGCTAAGTCTGATCGCGGTGTGCTTTGAAGACGGGATCCGTTTGAACAAGTCCTCACATGTGTTCTAGTAACATGACATCCAAAGCATTGTCGAGGAGCATCTGCTCAGTATGTGACAAGGACATTTCTTGGAGTTTCATCCACACCAGCGAGCTAGCCTCATCTTCGAAGTTGTTTGAATGATCGCTTAAGCTGACTACATTCTTTGTGCGCAAGGAGTAATAATAACAAGCTTGCCCGAAGAATAACACACGCTGGATCGACCGTCGAGGGACTGTATATTCATGCAACCCTGTTTGTTTACTGGTATACTCTTTTACTTTGTATCACTTGACCGTGTAGGTCGATAAACAAACTGGTAAGGATTTTCTGACTTATCGTGTAGGTTTTTCAGTCTAGCACACTGTCAGTATTCGCTATTCTTTGTCGTGAATGTGTCAGCCATGGAAACCCAAGTCCCGGCGGTCTCACTCTGAAACCATTCTACTTCTAGCTGTCTAGATTAACGAACAAAACCAGTCCTACAGTGTTGCCGACGAAGAAAAGATATGTTGTCAAAAGCAGCTAGTATCGCCCAGCCACAACATTGATTCCATCTCCCAAAGGACTGTTAACTCACGTCGGATCTTTTCTATGCACAGGAAACGTCTACTTATAGTTACTCATACGTGATCTGCCCGTTGGATTAGCGGAAGACTTGACTGATGTGTCAGATCGTTTAATTTGTGTGCCTCTGTTGGCTGTTAACTCAACTTATTTTCCTTATCTGTCTGATATCCCTAAATTTGATGGACATCTTGACAGGCTAGACTGTCCAAGAGTTTTGAACCAGGATAAGCTCAAACCATGTTACACGTAGGTAGTAACCATGACGCCACTGACTGGATGACTGTCTACCATGACTAATCAGAGCCAAAAGCAGTTTCGTTTATTGTAGCTGATGTGAGAGTTTTGCGTCAGAAGACGGGACAGTATCAAGCTGATGATAGTTCATACATTAAGCAATATTAACAGAAGAGGGCTTCGTGAACCATATGAGAGGGTAACCGTGGCCATGAAGCATGAAAGACCTTGCCGATTAGCTCAGTCGCGTTGGTAAATGTTAACTCCCCGTTAGAGGACCACGAGAGGAGACAAATTAATGGTTAGTGTCCTTTACGGATATGGCTGTGCCGCGTAGCCAGCGGCATTCTTTCCTGAGAGCTATCGCCTTCACTGCGCATCTCTCGGTCCATGCCGTACCAGACAAACAACCACTCGACGTCAACGGACTGCCTGAGCTGTTGCTTCCAATGGGTGGCTCTCCCTTATTCTCAGCTAATGAAGCTGTGGTAGCTGGGATTACTGCTTCCCGGTGCATTATATGTGAGCTGAAAAACTGAACTGAACCTCATCAGGCATATGTGACCGATTATCATAAGGTCTAAAATGGAGGGTTGGAATTGCTCGACGGGATCAAAGCGACAAAAGCGTCTTTTATAGATGTCTTGTCTGTCAGAACGTGGACCAGGGGAATAGATTTGATTAAAACCGTCGGGCTATTTTATTCCCTGTGTTGTGATTAGGTCCACCAAACACGGATGAGGTGGAGAAACACATGTAAGAAATCTTATGCCTCTCAGGAGAGGGTGCTTCCCTGTCCTTACGGTGTCTTCTACATGGTGCAACAATGTACACCACGAGAAACGGCCTTCCCTAAACTAGGGATTTGTTGCTGTTCATATGTTGGGAAAAGACAGTCGTCAGCTTTACACAAAAGCTCAGTTCTTGGTCTCATGCGTGGACAAAGTGCGGAATACCGAACAACAGTCAGTTTTTCTGCAACCTTGAGAACAAGTAACTCCCATCTGAAGATGAAGTGTTGCCAAGAGAAAACAGTTTTGACGGTGAGAAGTCTGCAGCTTTGTTTTTGTTCCAAACTGTACGTATTCAGCAGAGTTGCTTGTTTTGACTTTGCTTATGGATAGGCTTCGTGTATACTGAACCACTTGCTCGATGTATTGAGAGATGGAAACTGCTTTCAGTCAACATCTCATAAGCTATCAAGATTCCGTGCTCCATGTACTTTGTTTCAATCATCACCGGTACGTCCAATGGTTCCCCCTACCAAATTTTCGTCGTTCGGTGACGACGGAATAGCTTCACACAATGTGAGCGAAAGTTATATCTGTTGAGGAACGTGTGTAACATTGGCAGAGCACTTTTTCCAAGAGTCGGTGCAGTCTTCTTATACGTTGGAGGCAATAGTTCAGGTAAGTGAGCGCCTTTGGGTACATGCCTGTACCGTATATGCTGCAATCCGTAATTATTGACCTATATTGTCCGGGAGAAACTCACGATAGGCTAGCGGCCAAATGCTGACCAGCTGTAACGTTTTTTTCGTATGTGAAGTATCGGTGAACCCGCGACAGTGCAAATCTTACCCGTTTAAAGTTGATTGTACGCCACAGAATCATTAGGTCTGTCCCCTATTCTTTGACAGCTGATCCAGCCCTGGTGTATCCAGTTGAGTGATCACTATGAACACTTATGAATAGGGAATCAACTGAAACGCGTTTGCACAACACAATGTCTGTTGGTTAGCAAAGTTGTAAAACGTTATCATGACTATAATTATCATTTTCAGTACTGCTGTTGCAGGGCTGATAATCGGTATGCACCCCTACTCAGATTGCAAAGTAGCTAGATTTGAACGTGCACTCACGCGATATTTCACAAAGGCATTCCTACGGAACGTGGACATTCATGTCTCGGTCGATTGTCCCTTTTGATTTCGTTCCATTAGCTCATTTGTCAAACAAACAATTATTTGGAAAAGGCGATTTGTGTATCTTTTGGAAGATGGCCTTTCTTACTGGAAACTCATTAATGCGCTTGCGTTTTTCAGTAAGTTCGTTTACTACTTATGAATTCCGCAGTCTGATCATCAGATTCTCTTATGAGAATCGTCAACAGGTTATCTAGACAGGTGCCTCTAATAGATCAATTTACCTAGCAAGGACTTCCCTACACCTAATTGACTTATTCGTTTTTTATCTGCCTGTTTTCTTCGCA